CCGTTCTGTGGAGAGAGACCGACCCATGTGGGGTAAAACCCAGTGCAATGAAGTCAATACTCTCGATTTTAACCTTGAACCTTAACCTTTATTTTTTTTTGCCTGTCTGACTGTTTATCTATCTATCTATCTATCTATCTATCTATCTATCTATCTATCTATCTATCTATCTATCTATCTATCTATCTATCTATCTATCTATCTATCTATCTATCTATCTATCTATCTATCTGTCTGTCTGTCTGTCTGTCTGTCTGTCTGTCTGTCTGTCTGTCTGTCTGTCTGTCTGTCTGTCTGTCTGTCTGTCTGTCTGTCTGTCTGTCTGTCTGTCTGTCTGTCTGTCTGTCTGTCTGTCTGTCTGTCTGTCTGTCTGTCTGTCTGTCTGTCTGTCTGTCTGTCTGTCTGTCTGTCTGTCTGTCTGTCTGTCTGTCTGTCTGTCTGTCTGTCTGTCTGTCTGCCGTTCTGTGTGTCTATCTATATCTGTCTATATGTTAGTCTCTCGCTGTCTCTATCTCTGTCTCTATCTCTGTCTTTCTCACTCTGTCTTTCCCTGTCTCTCTCTCTCTCTCTCTCTCTCTCTCTCTCTCTGTTTCTGTCTCTGTCTCTATTTTTGTCTCTCTTACTCTGTCTCTCTCACTCTGTCTCTCTCACTCTGTCTCTCTTACTCTGTCTCTCTCACTCTGTCTCTCTCACTCTGTCCCTCTCACCCTGTCTCTCTCTGTGTCTGTCTTTGTCTCTATTTCTGTCTCTCTTTGTCTCTCTCTGTGAGTCTGTCTCTGTCTCTCTCACTCTGTCTCTCTCACCTTGTCTCTCTCTGTGAGTCTGTCTCTGTCTCTCTCACTCTGTCTCTGTCTGTATGTCTGTCTATGTCTTTCATTATTATCTCTGTCTCTGTCTGTCCGTCTCTCTCTCTCTCCTTCTCTGTCTGCCTCTCTCTATGACTCTCTCTCTCTAACTCACTCTGTGACTCCCCCCCCCCCCCACTCCCCCTCCCCAGGGACATGTGTCAGACAACATTGTTCTAAAGAAATCTCCTAGTCACCAGCTTAACTGTTGATTAGAAAGGAACATCTAACAAAAAGTTCCCCTAGAATCGATGAGCTTTGATTTCTCGAGTCGAAAATCAAACAGTGGTTATATCACACTGCGACGTGTGGTTTAGTGTTTTGGTAATTCTGTAGCAGTTGTATTGATTAACAATATCTTAGAGAGTCGCCCTTATCACAGAATATAGCAGAGTGGCATAATTTTAGCAAGAGCTGGAAGGTACATGCTCGAGTCTAAAAATAGGCTTGAGTGTTTATATTTGTCACGCAGATCGTTACATGGAAACTCTCTCTCTCTCTCTCTCTCTCTCTCTCTCTCTCTCTCTCTCTCTCTCTCTCTCTCTCTCTCGCTCTCTCTCTCGCTCTCCGTCCTTCCTCTCTCTCGCTCTCTCTCTATCTTTCCCTCCCTCCTCTCGCTCTCTCTCTCTCTCTATCTTTCCCTCCCTCCTCTCGCTCTCTCTCTCTATCTTCCCCTCCCTCCTCTCGCTCTCTCTCTCTCTCTCTCTCTCTCTCTCACTCATTGCCTCACTGTTTGTATTTGTCACTTAATATCGCTGCATGAAATCTCTCTCCCGCGCTGTCTTTCTCTTTCTCTCTCACACACTCACTCCCTCACTGCTTATCTTTGTCACTAAATAACATCGCCTTAAATCTCTCTTCCCACTGCTCTCTCTCTCTCTCTCTCTCTCTCTCTCTCTCTCTCTCTCTCTCTCTCTCTCTCTCTCTCTCTCACTCATTCAGTCACTGCTTATGTTTGTCACTAAATAGCGTTTCATGAAATATCTCTCTCTCTCTCTCATTCTCTCTCTCTCACTTGCTGTATTTTTTTTTAGCTTATACAGGCGGTCCTCTTCGGTCCGCGACTCGTACGGCACGCTGAGCTCTCTCATTCTCTCTCTCTCACTTACTCGCTGTATATCTTTAGCTTATACAGGCGGTCCTCTTCGGTCCGCGACTCATACGGCACGCTGAGCTCTCTCATTCTCTCTCTCTCACTTACTCGCTGTATATCTTTAGCTTATACAGGCGGTCCTCTTCGGTCCGCGACTCGTACGGCACGCTGAGCTCTATTAGGATGAGCTGGCGTTCTGTCACAGAGTGTAAAACCATATCTGGTCTCAGGCCAATCTGTCGGACTGGTTCGGCTATTTTTCAAAACCAGAAAGCTCTACGAGAAGTGAGACGTTTGCGAGAACCAAGTGATGACTGTGAATCTGCAGCGAGGACCATACGGCAAGAGCAACATGTTAAAAAAAAAGGGGGGGGGGGGGGTCAGACTAGAGCACTGTGCCGGAAGCAAAAGAAATTTAAGAAACCAGCGAAGGGCTGGTGTCATCCGCCGCTACACGATGCGGGAACTGCTGAGGAGGGCATCTGAGCAGTTACCAACTAAATGACTTGAAGTGCAGCGAGGATAATCTGTCGACTAACTATCTAGAGAGAATGGTTAGGTTAGTTGCACATCCTTTACAGGACGTTGCAGAACCAATTCCAGCAGCCCCTGGCTGTTTTGTGGTTTCTCTAGGCAAATTTACGTCCAGTAGTTTGTCATTGCTTTCTTTAGAGTCGACCCACTAATACCACTGTCGAAACCAACGCAAGGCGCATGGCCCGCAGTTGGGATCGAACCCGGCATCGCTGCATTATGAAGCGTTCACATCGACTTAGCCACAGAGCCGACTGAGAGAATAATAGAGAGATAAAAATCTGGATACACAATGAAAATAGACCATGAAGGAAACAAAAACACTCGAAGCCAATCACATTTATCTATAAAGGTGGGTGAAGTCTGCGGCAATGAACCTCCGGGGATCCGAATGCGGAAGATGGAGAAAAATTGTGAGCGTATTTGTTGCTCTACCTGTTACGTATATAACTTCTTTCTTCTTTTTGCCACTGTGTATTCTTCAAAGCATATCAGAGAGCGGTTGTGTGCAGCATTCTGTCTTTTTAATAGTTGCGTAGCTTGTATTAATGTCACATTAAGTTTATGTGCTGTCTCTTTTACTCCATCCACCCATCTGTTTCTTGGTTGGCCTCTTGCTTTGAAGTCTGCTGTTTTTATATAGTAAGCTCTAGCTGCTGGCTAATTTGTTTCATTCCCACCAGGTGTCCAAACCATTTGACTTTTTGGTGTTCTATGAAATCCTTTACCTGTACTGTGTCTACCATTGTTCTTAATTTTTCATTAGTGACTTTGTCTATTCTTATTTATCCCGCCTAATTTCTTCTACACGTTATCGTACACGTTGTAACTACGTTTATGTTTTTCTAGGACTCTCCATGTGTGGCGTTGACATCATATAGTTGTCCCCCACAAGGAAATCATACTAAGCAATAAACACCAGGTGACACAAAGTGCCACCATTCGGATGAGGATCACCAGGACAGGTCCCAAAAACTCAATTCAATCCACAGGGTGTTTTATATAAGCGCTCGCGGCAAGAGCCAGGGCGGGGTTTTACAAAAAGGACGAAATGTGTCCAATATTTTGACGCAGTGTTAACCCCCCCCCCCCCTCCCCATTTCTTCAAAATAAAATGCGTTCGTGCGTCTCCACAGATCACGATTCCTGGTTGCCAACGTTTCAGCCCATCCAGCATCGTCTCTCTTGGTCTGCTTCTACCCGCTTTTCCACTGATCTTTCCAGTTATCACAATGTTCTCCACTGTCTCTCTTCTCGTTATGTGGCAAAAGAACAGTGTTTGTCTCAGTCTTTTTGTTGTATATAGAGATCTATTTTCATTAGCCTCTTTTAATCAATCGTTGCTAGGTACTCTGGCCGTCCAAGGTATTCGTAACATTCGTCTCAGAAACCACATCTCTGTTGCTTCCAAATTCTCCTTAATTTCTTCACTGTCATTCCAAGATTCGCCGCCATAGACCAGGTTCTATGTAACATTTTAGCATCCCCTTTGGGATTATATACCTAAAATAAAATTGACAAACTTATAAAATTTGGGGGGAGAAAATAGAAATAAAAATAGATTACAATAAAGGGGAATCTCTTGAGATCTCTGCACACTGCGGGGCTTTACATTCTACTCAGTAGATTATTTTGCTTCTGTAGATTATTTTGCTTTACCTAAATCTACCACTCATCAAAGTCATTCTTTTTTTTCCGGTGGACGACACAATGGACTTGCATTCGATCCATCTACTCCGCTCTATTGCATGCAACGCTCTAGATTTCTGACATGGAGTTCAGCCCAGTGTTTTTGGTTTTCGTAAAAATGTTTTTTCGTAATGTTTAATTTGGAAATTCTGTTTTTATCACACCGTTTGTTTTCCATTCTAGTGCTACTTTTTACTTGCACCTCAAACCTGAATCTGAAGAATCTCAGCGCAGGCACGAACTCCGTAGCACCAGCGAGGATCCTGAAATACTTGGGTAGATTTTTTACTTTAAATTTTTACTCTCATAGCACTATTAGTATTAGGCTACTCTTTTCGATTTCCAACTGCCAACGGATTTTTTTTTTAAACATGTGCAACAATACACACGGGCGTCCAATCTGACTACCCAAAGACCAGGGGAAAATTACTAGAATTTCAAATGAAAGTCCACTAGGGCTTGAACTCGGAACCTCTAGTACTCGGGGAGGGCACCATACTTCGAGACCTCTCAGCGCTCCCCCCCCCCCTCTCTCCTTTTTTTAAAAAGCTCTAACCGTGAAACCAAAACCAGTACTCTACAAAGACTAACTACTGCTCCCCGGGTAAATTAACCCAGGGTATCTATGAGACGGTAGAACAATTAGTTATAATAAAAAAACAGACTATGTATTGATTGGTACTCATAGAAAGGACTAGACAAATAGCAACTGGCAGTACAGTTACGTAAACAGCGACCTTATAGCTTTGTATGTTGCAGGTGAGCACTGTTTCCATGGCAAACCAATATGGCGGTCTGCTGCTTGTAAACAGAAGACAAATAAATAAGAAGACAAATAAATGACCGAATATAAAATGGCTTTAGCCAAGCTTCCGCCGCTGTCCGGGTAATGTATTGTGAAGATAAATGGATAATTATTTCCTACAATATTTTTAGCTTCTCCTCTTTTGCTTTCTCCATTTTACGAAAATACGCCACAATATCTTAATATGGCCTACAAAAATAAAGTAAGAGGCACTCCTTCGCTTCGGTCCTTCGTTTTTGAACGGCGACCTCAGGGGGACGCAATCAAATCTAGTAATCTGGAGTTGTTTGTTTACGGCGACCATAAGCGAGACAATCACTAGTTTGTGTACTTTCACAGAATGATGTAATGTAATATTTATTATTAGGCTATCCTCCAAATAACGGTCCTAAATTATCAAGGCGGAAAAATATACCCAACAGGGCCTTAGTCACGTGTCAATTGCGCACTTCCAGGACTATAACGCCACCGCCGAATTGCTGACTTCCGCCACCGCCGAGCGTATCCCCCACGCCGCTCACGCAGCGTTTATTAGGGCTAAACTAGATGGCTAGGACTCACAAGCAAATAAAATGAAGGAAGCTGCAAGAGATGCAGTAGCTGCTGCTCGTGAGTCCCAACCATCTAGTTTAGCCCCAATCCACGCCACGTGAGCTGCGTGGGTGGGGGATACTCTTGTCGGTGGCGGAAGTCGCTGGAAGTGCGCCATTTAAGACGACGGAAGTGCGCAATTTACACGTGACTCAAGCCCTGTTATGGTATATTTTCCGCCTCGATAATTTAGGACCGTTATTTGGAGGATAGCCCAATATTATATTGTCTAAGATTAAGGTTGGAGATCGTCATAGGCCAGAGGTTAAAACCCCAGCTTAGAAAGATCAGTATTATAATATTACTGGCAGTGATTTGTGGGCCACTTGACTTGCTAGGCCTCTGTGGGCCACTTGACTTGCTAGGCCTCTGTGGGCCACTTGACTTGCTAGGCCTCTGTGGGCCACTTGACTTGCTAGGCCTCTGTGGGCCACTTGACTTGCTAGGCCTCTGTGGGCCACTTGGCTTGCTAGGCCCCTGTGGGCCACTTGGCTTGCTAGGCCTCTGTGGGCCACTTGAATTGCTAGGCCTCTGTGGGCCACTTGACTTGCTAGGCCTCTGTGGGCCACTTGGCTTGCTAGGCCTCTGTGAGCCACTTGGCTTGCTAGGCCTCTGTGGGCCACTTGGCTTGCTAGGCCCCTGTGGGCCACTTGGCTTGCTAGGCCTCTGTGGGCCACTTGGCTTGCTAGGCCCCTGTGGGCCACTTGGCTTGCTAGGCCTCTGTGGGCCACTTGGCTTGCTAGGCCTCTGTGGGCCACTTGGCTTGCTAGGCCCCTGTGGGCCACTTGGCTTGCTAGGCCTCTGTGGGCCACTTGGCTTGCTAGGCCTCTGTGGGCCACTTGGCTTGCTAGGCCCCTGTGGGCCACTTGGCTTGCTAGGCCTCTGTGGGCCACTTGGCTTGCTAGGCCCCTGTGGGCCACTTGGCTTGCTAGGCCCCTGTGGGCCACTTGGCTTGCTAGGCCTCTGTGGGCCACTTGGCTTGCTAGGCCTCTGTGGGCGACTTGACTTGCTAGGCCCCTGTGGGCTCCATTTGACCCATGGTCCGCTAGATGAACAGCCCTGGTATACAACTTCCTGAGGGGCAAAATGTGAAACTTGTGCGGAAAACAAACATTCTTTAAAGTGCCTAATTGAACCTAAGATGTAAGAACATACAGCGCTAGTTAGTTGTGAACCCTTTACATAAATAATAATTAATTCTGTCCGTACTCCATAGTTGTGGATTCCAAGCTGTATGATAGACATGCTAACTGTTTATTAGGATTCCTAGTTGATTGCGTTCTTAGTAAGATTGTCTCCATAGTGTGGCGCACACGCCATCTAGATGTGACAGGTTCGATTCCCGGCACGGTAATTATATCTTTCGATTTTTATGTTGTCTTTTTTGTCCTTCTACCTTTCTACTTTTTCCTATCAGTGCCGAACAATGCATTGTCTCTATGTTAATTATATATATATAGTGAATCCTTTACAGGATGTTGCAGAACCAACCCCCAGCATTTCTTGTGGCTGTTGTGGTTTTTCTAGGCAGATTTATGTCCAGTAGTACACCACCTAGTCGACAGCATACACGTCAGTAATATCCAGCTACGCATGATGCATTCTTCGTCTTCTTCTTGTTCACCAGCTGTAAACTCTGGCGGAAAGTTCTGATTGTTCATCCACTTCTGGACTGCAGTCCTGTTCCAGAATCTGAGTGTTGCGTGTGCATCTTTTTTTACAGATCTGACTCATTTGCATGCAGACTGCTGGTTCCTCGCCTCTCAGGGAGATGCACTCAGACCTTGAATGAAGCATGATGCATTGTTTAGGAAAAAAAAGAGTGAAGACATGGTGCTGGTACTTCATATCATTGTGTAGCGTCAGAAAAAAAAGCCCTGGTACCAATTTGTGTGTGTGTGTGTGGGTGTTTTGTCAAACTAAGGGCTGAACTGGTAGGAAAAATGTTTGTTGCCACAAAAACCGCTGTCTCTTCAGATAAACACAATAACCATGATTCCACTGCAGCTTCAGTTTATGTCAACATTCTTAGTTTGGTTTTTAAAAAAAAGTTCACATTCCCATTTTTTTCTTTGGTGAAGTGGGAAAGTGGCTCCAGTGTCTTCCCCTGCTGTCCAGCGACTTGAGCGACTAAATGGACCCTCATACAAACTTAATGAGAGACTGTACCCGCTACCACCACCAAGTGTTTTAAAGGTATTTAATTAATGGTATTAATTTCCAGCATATATATATGAAAGTGCATTATAAACAGTTTGTAAATTTGTACTTGGAAGCTGGGGAGATGTGGTTTTATTGACGAGTGACGAGATTACTCTGGACAGATAAAACGAGTAATGAGGGGGGAAAAAAACTGACTCATGAAGAGAACTGATTGCTCACATCAGAGAGAGAGAGAGAGACAGCCTACAATCTTTGGTCAAGGGATGAGAAGGGGAAAACTGGAGTATATCATAACAGTGGGAAAGTTGAAGGGGAGAAGAGGCAGAGGGAGGCAGAGAGAAAAAATGCTGGACAATTTGACATCATGGCATGGAGGGTCATCTGCATCAAAGTTGACTGAAAGTGCATGAGACAGAAGCTTGCAGGTAGACATCACTACCAGTGCCACACAGAATAGACTTTAAGAAGATTATTTCCGGTAGTCACACACATGTCAGATATTCCGCTGGCCAGACAGATTTGTGATTTCTCTCAGAAATGCTCCATTTAACCAATTTTGTGTACTTTTGTTTGTATTTGCAGTAATGCATATATTCATGTATTGTGCTGATGAAGGCTCTCAAGCCATTGTCATTTGTGTTTGATGATTGGGAAGGTCACGGGTAGTGAGCATACTTTGGATCTTTTTTCCAGGCAATACCGGTGTGGTGGGTTAACGAACAGTCAGACAGATTGGCTGGATCTGCATCACTGAGTGATGAATTGATACATGAAAAGGCAGATGTGGTCAAGGCCCTTTGGAAACAAACAACAGAATCAGTAGGGAAAGAAGATTATTATGACCTGGAGAGAATGAGGCACCTGGGTGTAACCAGAAGGTTTGACCCGCACACAACAGAGGAAAGGCAAGATGGACATATAACCAGATTATGACAGGTACCATCAGTATTGTAACTCTGTGCTGGCTGCTGAAGATGAGGACGGAGCATGCATGGGAATGCCCCGAGTGCTGTGATGTCACTTCTTGACTCAGCTCAACTCAGATTGTGTTTGTGATAACGTGAATCTCAGAGATTCTGCTTGTTATTTGGTCCCATGTTTTCTCAGCGAGACATTCTGCAAGGAGACATCTTGAAGCAAGAACATCAGTTCTCTTGTCTTTCAGCTTTACATAGCACACATGTGTGTGCCCCCCCCCCCCCCACACACATGCACACGCACAGCACACACACACATATAAATAAAAAAACATAGACACCCACAAACAGATAGAAATGCAACACATACACACCCACCCACACTCACTTACTCAGTCATTCCCATGCTCATACGGTTTTTATTTCAAGCCTTATGTATACTGTTAAAAAAAAAAAGAAACGTATAGTTAATGAAAGGAACAAACATACTCACAATTTTGACATTCTGCATCTTTGTAATACAGTAAGTGAAATCACTCAAATTCAACTTTTTTTTTCCATCTGGGTCACAATAGTTTTTAAGCGTAGGCCTACCCCATTAGTACAGTGTGTGGCCTCCTCTTGCGTGGATCAGTGACATGCATCTCCTGGGCATCAGATGTCTGATGTGGGCCTGTGGGATGGCTGCCCACTCTTCCTGGAGTGCCTGGAACAGATCACAACCATTGGCTGGAGCAACGTTTTGCAGACAAACACGTCTTTGCAGCTCATCCCACAGGTGCTCAGTCGGACTCATGCCTGCAGACAGGAATGGCCAGGGAAGGGATTGAATGTTATTGGCAGCCAGGAACTGCATGGTCAGCCGTGCAGAAGGGGGTCTGGCGTTGTCCTGTTGAAAAAGATATCTGTTGGCATCCCAAAATGGAAGGACATGTGGTTGAAGAATTTTATGGGTGTATCGTTGCGCATTCAAGCTTCTTTCAGTGTGCACCAATTGACTCCTTCCATTGTAACTGATCATTTCCCATACCATTACACCTCTGTCACCATGCAGCAGAGCTTTATCAACACAATTTTGGGCTAAACCTTCATTTTGTCTACGGTAGACCCTACGCTGTCTATAATGACCTTGCAACAAAAAGAAAGATTTGTCACTAAACCAGACACATCTCCACTGATTGTCACTTGCCCAGGGATGATGTTGGTTGGCCCAAAGAAGTCGATTTTGGCGGTGGCGACGCATAAGGACAGGTCCTCGGTGTGGTCGTCGAGCCCAAAAGTCCAACATCATGCAGTTTGTTCTGAACAGTTTAATCAGACACATGACGTCCTGGAGGCAATGCCTGTGCAGTTGAGGAAGCTGTTGTAAACCTAACTCTGAGGTGACGAAGCCGAAAAGAGCGATTCTCCGCTGCTGTTGTCACTCTGGGTCGTCCACTGCGATGTCAATCGTCAACTGAACAAGTGGCTTGGAACCAATGCAAATGTCAGCTGATGCACATTTAGAAGCCTGGCAACTTTGACTTTCTCCTGCCTGCAATCGGCCAAAAACAGCATTCCTTAATTTTATCGGTAGAGGCGCCATTTGTGACAGCTTGGAAATGAACTGATCATTTTTGTGTAGCCTTATCCTTTTATAGGGTTTTAATTGCATAGGGAGTGAATAGTGTTCACTGCAAATTGTGCGCACATCGTGAGCTATTCTCACAAATATGGTCTTAAACACATTTGACCACTGCGTTGTAACGATTACAAAAACCCACACAATTCACGCCCAAATGTCCACCTGACACTGTAAACAACATTTGAGTCTGCTTTTCACATACCCGAGTACTGTATTTTATTTACAAACTAATACAAATACGCGATCGGATAACTATGTGTTTCTTTTTTTGAACAGTATAGACAAAAATTTACACTCATTTACTCACTTGCTGACTTACTTGAACGGTTTTTATTTCCGGCGTTATTTAGACAGACTCACATTTGTTTACTCACTCACTCACATACTCATACGGTTTTTTTGTTTCCAGCCTTATGTAGACACAAACACACACTCATTTACTCACTCACTCACATACTCGTACGGTTTTTGTTTCCAGCCTTGTGTAGACACAAACTCACAAATTTTTACTCACTCACTCACATACTCATACAGTTTTTACATCCAGCCTTATGTAGACACAAACTTGCACTCATTTACTCATACAGTTTTTACATCCAGCCTTATGTAGACACAAACTTGCACTCATTTACTCATACAGTTTTCACATCCAGCCTTATGTAGACACAAACTTGCACTCATTTACTCATACAGTTTTTACATCCAGCCTTATGTAGACACAAACTTGCACTCATTTACTCATACAGTTTTCACATCCAGCCTTATGTAGACACAAACTTGCACTCATTTACTCATACAGTTTTTACATCCAGCCTTATGTAGACACAAACTTGCACTCATTTACTCACTCACATTCTGGTACGGTTTTTATTTCTAGCCTTATGTAGACACAAAGTCCGGAGAGCTGGATATGTGGCCAGCCTATGCCAGCAGCCGGGCACTGTCCTGCACCATATCCATGCACTCCAAGCCCAGAAGTCTGGTGATGAGTGACGATGACATACGGAGGTCGCAGCTGATCCCAAAACCACGATTTCTGGAGCAGTTAGAAAATTTTCTAAAGAAGGAGCTTAAAGCTCTAGGTGTAGCTGATGTACAGCCAAATGAACTGAGACTGCAGGTACAGTTTTATCTTTCTTCTTTTCTTTCCTCAGCTTTTTCGTCATGTGACACTACATAGTAACCATATCAGACTGGATCGAGCTGTGAGCCAAGAACAGTAGGGAAAACAAATCAGCTTCAGTGAGGATTCAAACCCCTGACTTTCGGGCCATCAGGCGAGAATCTAGCCACCATGCTGCCAGGCTCCCTTAGAAGCATCTGGACACTCAGTAAAACTTTAGGGGTCTCTGTGGCGAAGTGGTAGCCATTCTGCGGAGAGAGGCTGAGCCATTTGGGATCAAACCCGGTGCAATGAAGTCGATCCTCTCGACTTTAACCTTCAGTGAAACCTCACTGACATGAACTTGCTTAAGACTGTCAAAATGAACAAAATGTTGGCCCCATCATGGATGTATTATTATTATTATTATTATTATATTATTATTATATTATTATTATTTTATTATTAGTTCATTGTACGCTTGATACTTCTGAAGGTTCAGCAGCACAGTTTGGAGGAGCAGATGGGATCACCACAGTCTGGAAATGATGAGGGGTTCTGGCAGATGCTTGAGGCTCAGAGCAAAAGCAAGACGGACGTTTAACCAGAATGCTACTGTCACCATTAGTATAGGAACTCTGTAATAGCTGCTGAGGATGGGGATGGAGCGCTTATGGGAGTGCACTGAATGCTGTGATGTCAGTTCTTGAATCAGCTCGACTCATCACTAAGGGTTCAAAATGGACAAATGTGGTGTCAGTGGATATAAAGCGTCAGCAAGTGATCATTAGAGGAGCTCACATGGATATACAGTCTGGAACATGTAGGAGTGTGGGGAAATGAAAGAGCAGATTTTCTGGCTACAAAAGGGATAGCTGCAGGAACATTCAAACTGGATTAAGCAGACATCCTGAAGACCATATATGACATAATGTGTGAACGAGTAATCGTGTGTGGATCTGGCAAGGAGTTATGAAAGACAGGAAGAGAACAACCAGTTTATGCTCAGTGTGCCTCCAACTTTCTAGACTTTCTCCAGTTTTCTGCTGTTTTTTTGTGTGGTTTTTGTTGTTGTTCCAAGTGTTTATACTTGCAAGTCGAATAGGTTGTAAGTCGAGGAAAAGGTGTACATGTTTTTCTTTTTTCAAGAGAATTGTGTTATCATATGTAAACATTTTTTTTTTTTAAAAGGCATATCGAGAAGTGTTTGAATACCTCATCGATGATTTTAAAACTTACAAGCCCTTGCTGGCAGCTATAAAAAATGAATATGAAATGATGCTGGCACATCAGCGACAACAGATACGACAGCTGGAACCACTGAAGGTCAGTTCTTCTTCTTCTTCTTCTTTTTTGTGTTTGGTTTCGTATGCTCAGATCAGACCATCAGGTGGGCTGCCTCTATTAACTTGCATGTCAGTAACAGGTCCTTCACGGTTCCCTATAGCTTGCTCTGCACACTTTGTTTGCTTTTGAGGCCAGGTGTCTTTTCGAAGTTGAAGGTAGATTGGGCAGGTCTGCAAAATGTGCTTAGGTATTTGAGGTCTTGTTTGAGAGGCACACTTGTGCGGACTGTACACAGGTTGGTTCAATTTGTCTTTGAAGAAAAAAAAATTTAAAAAAACATGTGTTCAGAATAAATAAGTCAGCAGAAATATAGGTAAATGCCAGGAAGAAATGAATCTGTAATATATGTAAGGGCCATCATACCAGATTGTAGATGATGTGTAAATATAACAGAACTGGGATTATTTAGTGTGTATAAATGACACAAACTAAAGTACATGTATGTGTAAATGGTATAAATCATTTAATAAATATGTGCAGATATCATGAACTAGATTGTATATGGTATAAGCTGATGTCCTGAACTAGATTGTATATGATATGTGGAGATGTCATGAACTAGATTGTATATGATATGTGGAGATGTCATGAACTAGATTGTATATGGTATAAGCTGATGTCCTGAACTAGATTGTATCTGATATGTGCTGAGGCCATGAACAAGATTATGTATGATATTTGAAAATGTCATGAAGTATATTGTATATGATATGTGCAAATGTCATGAACTAGATTGCATATGATATGTGCAAATGTCATGAACTAGATTGTATATGATATTTGCAAATGTCATGAACTAGATTGTGCATGATATGTACAAATGTCTTGAAGTAAATTTATATGATATGTTTAAATGTTATTGACTAGATTATGTATGATGTGTGCACATATCATGAACTAGATTGTATATGATATGTGCTGATGTCATGCACTGGATTGCAAATGATATGTGCAAATGTCCTGAACTAGACTCTATATGATATGTGCAAGTATCATCAGATGTCATGAACTAAATGTGAATAGAGTGTACACTCAAGGAAGAGACAGAGCATCACAAATCCATGTCCGCCAACCTTCACCCTGCAATCAGTCAGCTTATTGATTGTATTTCTGGTACTGAGTTGTATACTAGTCACACTAGTAAAGTTGTTAAACTCTTTTAGTCCCAAGCAGTGCCTGTTGTGGTAAATAATCTACCCCTTGATTTCCCTCCACAGTGTAATGCACTCTCTTTATTAAATTTTTGATCAGAAAACTCTAAAGACATATTTCTTTTTCTCCTTCTGCATTCTGAGCCCTTGAGGTTCATTGCTGCAGATATCACCTGCCTCCATTTGTCTCTCTCTTTGGCCTTCTCTTTCCAATTGGTGACACCAAGTGTTTGCAGGTCTGTCTGGATGTTATCTCTCCATCGTTTAAAGAAATATGGCTTTCCTTAATGGTCACTACCACTGTGCATACTGCCGCATTGATGATTTTTTATCATTCTTTTCTTTTCACTTTGGAAGCTCTTATGAAACCTTCTGGTACCGAAAGAGTTAATGCACATACCCTCCAAGGCAGAGGGCCAGTATTCTTTTTTGTCTTTTCTCCTTTGTCTGCTTGTTCACTTTCTGTAAACTCACAGAAATTTCTGCTTTGGTCTTGTTCCAGAACATTGATTTTGCATGCACATCCGATTGACAGGTCTAACTCATATGTTTGACAAGCTAGATATTGTGAGGGCCCTTTGGGAATGAGTTAACAGTGAGGAGGCGCAGAAAGATCATTATGGTCTGAGGAGAATGGTGCTGCGAGGAGTTACCAGGGGATCTGACTGAGCCATATTGGTGAAAACCCGGTGCAATGAAGACAATTCTCTCGACTTTAACCTTTAACCTTCAGTAAAACCTCACTGACATGAAGTTGCTTCAGAATGTCACAATAAACAAAATGTTGGCCCCATCATGGATGTATTATTATTATTATTATTATTGTTATTATTATATAATTATTATTAGTTCCTTGTTTGCTTGATACTGCTGAGGGTTCAGTAGTACAGTTCGGAGGAGCAGATGGATCACCACAGTCTGGTGAGAGTGATGGAGCGGGGAGTGACGAGGGCTTCTGGCAGATGGATCACCATAGTCTGGTGAGATTGATGCAGCGGGGAGTGACGAGGGCTTCTGGCAGAGGATCGAGGCTCAGAGCAAAAGCAAGATGGAGATTTAATCAGAATGCTACTGGCACCATCAGTATCGGAACTCTGTAATGGCTCAACACTCAGGGGAAGAATGAGACAGATATACAATCAGACTGTTACTGGTCCCATTGGAATTGGAACTCTTCGCTTGCTGCTGAATAAGGGGAGACGGAGCACTTATGAGAGTGTCCAGAGTGCTGTGATGTCAATTCTCAATTCAACATTCAACTTATATGTTTGCAGACTGTCTGTTCATCACTTTTTAGCCAGATGCATTCAGACTTGAAAGTAAACATGCCTGTTGATTTTTACAGTGTGTTTGTTATGGACGTAGAATGTCTATTTATTTTTCCCAGACAATCACCGGAAGTGGCATATTTTTTTTTTCAGTCAGTACATCTTTGTTCAGCCTATTTTGCTGTATCTTTCCAGGTACATAACTACCGAGCAGTGTGTTATCCAACACATTGCGCCTCGTAAGTTAAATTCATAATGTGAAAACACAGTTTTGATGTCAGTGAATGAATCAGTCAATCAAGAATTGACGTTACTGCACCCGGGACATTCTCACATTTATTCCATCACATTCTTCAGAAGCCAGAGAAGAGCCGACTTGCCAGTAGTACCAGTTGTGACCTAATGCAAATTCCAACTGTTTCCCCCAACAGTGTTGAATACCTTCTAGAACCTCTACTCACCTGTGTTTTCCCTAACAGTGTTGAATATCTTCTAGAACCTCTACTCACCTGTGTTTTCCCCAACAGTGTTGAATACCTTCTAGAACCTCTACTCACCTGTGTTTCCCCCAACAGTGTTGAATACCTTTTAGAACCTCTACTCACCCGTGTTTTTTTCCCTAACAGTGTTGAATACCTTCTAGAACCTCTACTCACTTGTGTTTTCCCTAACAGTGTTGAATACCTTCTAGAACCTCTACTCACCTGTGTTTCCCCCAACAGTGTTGAATACCTTCTAGAACCTCTACTCACCTGTGTTTTCCCTAACAGTGTTGAATACCTTCTAGAACATCTACTCACCTGTGTTTCCCCCAACAGTGTTGAATACCTTCTAGAACCTCTACTCACCTGTGTTTCCCTAACAGTGTTGAATACCTTCTAGAACCTCTACTCACCTGTGTTTCCCCCAACAGTGTTGAATACCTTCTAGAACCTCTACTCACCTGTGTTTTCCCTAACAGTGTTGAATACCTTCTAGAACCTCTACTCACCTGTGTTTTCCCTAACAGTGTTGAATACCTTCTAGAACATCTACTCACCTGTGTTTCCCCCAACAGTGTTGAATACCTTCTAGAACCTCTACTCACCTGTGTTTCCCTAACAGTGTTGAATACCTTCTAGAACCTCTACTCACCTGTGTTCCCCCCAACAGTGTTGAATACCTTCTAGAACCTCTACTCACCTGTGTTTCCCCTAACAGTGTTGAATACCTTCTAGAACCTCTACTCACCTGTGTTTCCCCTAACAGTGTTGAATACCTTCTAGAACCTCTACTCACCTGTGTTTCCCCTAACAGTGTTGAATACCTTCTAGAACCTCTACTCACCTGTGTTTCCCCTAACAGTGTTGAATACCTTCTAGAACCTCTACTCACCTGTGTTTCCCCTAACAGTGTTGAATACCTTCTAGAACTTCTACTCACCTGTGTTTTTAAAAAGTGATGTCTATAGTGAAACGACAACTATCATTTGCCTTTCAAAGACTGAAAACTGATTAATTATAGAGTGAGACAGATAGAACTATAAAAATTAGATTTCTAAGAGCATGCATCTTCCCCATTGCAACATACGCCTGTGAGACCTGGACACTTACTAAACATGTTGAACTGAGCATAAAAGCCTTCAAATACAACTGTTATAGACGGGTTCTAAGAATATAATGGGTAAAGAAAAGAACAGATTCATCTATACTTCAAGAACTGAATACTGAAGAAAGTTGGCTATTAAAGATGATAAAACACAGAAAACTGAAATATTTTGGTCACTTGAAATGTCCTGAAAGTTTGGAGAGAACAGTAATGGAGGGGTATATGCCTGGAAAGAGAGGAAGAGGAAGGCCAAAGAAAAGATGGGTACAGGATGTGGCGGATGATCACCAGATGGGTGTATCGGCCGCAGGTCATCTTGCTTGTGATCGAGAAGTTTTCCGGATTGTTGTTATGGTAGCAGTGTACTGCAAAGGACAGGCTACTGACTGATGTCTATTGTACACTTAATTATTGAGGCTTGGCTCTGTTTAACTCTTAACAACTCTGATTTTTACCTTAGTAGAGAAGGTAAAAGATAAAGGTAAAGCTGGGAGACATGAAACAGGTTATAAACCATAAGCGTGCTGACAGCTGATAAGAAATTGTCTGCCTGTGTCGCCGTCGGCACATAACTCCGTAGATACAGTTCCTCAATTTATCCCAGAGTGTTATCTCTGGTACCCATATCTTAGAGGCTGGGTGAACACCGGAACCGTCCAGTTTCAAACAACCGCCATACTTTGCAGCGAGTCGCAGCTATATTTGAAAGTAAGTCTCCTATCTACTGCACTAACGGGGCCCCCAGTAAACAAGGATATATTGTATAGAATAATCTTCCTCTAGCTGATGATGTCTGTTCATTTGTGATCTTGTCAACAGCAAATGGTGGTCACCGTTTCAGAGCAGTGTGAGCAGAAAATCCTGGCTGTAAGGAATGAAGAACTGCAGGGTAAGTCATCATCATCATCATCATCATCATTATCATTGGCCAGTTGATGCTGCAGAATCAGAAGTTCAACAAATGATTCATGACAATTCCTGCCCAAGTGATGTGATTCTCTATACAGATGGCTCTGTGTTGAGAGGCAGATAAAGTGCATGGGTGTTCATAGAAAAAGCCAATGGACATTACTTAAGCCTTGCATATGATATCACAAGGTCTAGCTTGAGAATGGAGGTGGAGGCAGTAACTGCTGCCTTCCGCTGGCTTGAGAATCAGGTACATACATGCCATGATTGTAACTGACTCACAGAGCATGCTGAGAAAGGTGAAAACATGCCTTCTTGATGCAGAGTGGCAAGCATCACTTCAGAGGTCACGGAAACTTAGCATCCCTTGGACTGTCTTTCTTTTGAAGAGGCCTAATGCAAGACCAGTTGGCACTTGGTGGGTGGTCTTGTCAACATCACATGCTTTTATTCTTTCGAAGGCTTCCTAGGCACTGTGCTGTTTATTAAGCCAATATTCCTTAATGTTTGGATCTTTTAGGTGTCACAGAGCCGTAATCCTAACATCTTGTTCTGCTTGTTTATTTACTGTGTAAGGAGGTTCCCATGGTGTAATGGTCATGCCATTTGCCTCGTGCTCTGAATGTTATTGGTTCATTTCACATTTCACAGCTGCATCGCTCAGATGATGAGTAGAATTTTCACGGAGATGCCTGATATTGTCAGAGTGTTGTTGTTCGTCCATCATGGGTGATGAAGACCACTTTTTATTCAAAGTAGCAATGATAAATGATTATGAGCACGAAGGTGGCTGATTATTTCAAAATGAGCCCAGAAAGTTCTTGAGCAGTGCAGACAACAGATAGAAGCCGCAGTAAGTGTGGGATTAGCAGTACATTTCTTTCGAGTCTGCCTCCGTTTCTCTGCCTGTGCAACCTCCACGTGCCTGGCAGGCTGATGCACCATTCCTGAGGGATGTACGCCATCCAGAACGATCTTGCACAGAAGCCTTCTACGTCGCTGTGTTGATGTCAAAGGAATTGAGAGCTGTTTTGAGAGTGTCTTTATAGTGCATTTTCTGTCCTCCCTGGGACCTTTTCCCTTGTTGGAGCTCCCCATAAAATACTCTCTTTGGGAGGTCATAGTCTGTCATGCGAGCTAAGTCACTAGCCCAATGCAGCTGATAATTCTTAAGCATCGTGATTGTCAAAGTATCAAACAATCATAACCCAGTTTTTAAGTAGGGCATTTGATTTTACCTCATACAAATACAAACCCATTATCTTTCAGGACTAGAACCTGGATCCCCTGGTGTATGAGACTGGGGTTTAACCTCCTAAACATTTCCTGTTGGTTCCATGCTATATGCAATACACTTTCTGTTTCCTAATTAATTCATGCTATATGTAGTACTGTAACAGCCAGTGTACTGTTTTTGTTATTTTCAGAAATGGCAGAACTGAAGAAAGAAAACAGAAATCTTTATGCTCAGATTTCCAGCTTGAGGAACCAGCATGAAGATCTCAGGGAACAAGTTGAAAGGTTAAAGGTAAGGTTATAGTTGTTTATAATGATCTCAGGAAACAAGGTGAAAGGTTAAAGGTAAGGTTATGGTTGTTTATAATGATCTCAGGGAACAAGTTGAAAGGTTAAAGGTAAGGTTATGGTTGTTTATAATGATCTCAGGGAACAAGTTGAAAGGTTAAAGGTAAAGTTATGGTTGTTTATAATGATCTCAGGGAACAGGTTGAAAGGTTAACGGTAAGGTTATGGTTGTTTATAATGATCTCAGGAAACAAGTTGAAAGGTTAATGGTAAGGTTATGGTTGTTTTTAATGATCTCAGGGAACAGGTTGAAAGGTTAACGGTAAGGTTATGGTTGTTTATAATGATCTCAGGGAACAGGTTGAAAGGTTAATGGTAAGGTTATGGTTGTTTATAATGATCTCAGGGAACAGGTTGAATGGTTACCGGTAAGGTTATGGTTGTTTATAATGATCTCAGGGAACAAGTTGATAAGTTAAAGGTAAGGTAATAGTTGTTTATAATGATCTTGGGGAACAGAGTGAAAAGTTAAAGGTGAGGTTAATGTTGTTTATAGTGCTGCCGGGGAACAAAGTAAAACGTTAAAGGTAAGCCTAATTGCTTTATGAATAGTTGGCTCTCGAAACCAACACAAGGCTGTCTGGGACTAAAACACCTGCAGCTAGGATTGAACCCAGCACCTCTGCATTACAAAACCTGTTGACAATACCGGAGCCACAGAGGCTGACACTAACATTACAGCTGTTAGGAAACATTCTATTTATTTGACTTGGTAAGAAGAATGAAGTACCATTATAGGCCATCAGCAAATCAGGCATGTGGTGGTAAACCCATCTTTTGACAGACCAGTGAGTACTTAATGGGTGATGATGATGTCTGAGGGGCTAAGTTTTCTCAAGGTATGGTGTCGGCCCTGAGTGCTGGAGGTCCTGGATTCAAGCCCCGCTGAAGGCTGGAATTTTTCATGTGGACTTATAGTAATTTCCCCTGGTCTCTGGGTAGTAAGATTGGACGCCCATGTGAATTTTTGGACATGTAAAAAAAATCCCTCAGCAGTTGGAAATCGAAAAGAGTAGCCGGCTCTACTGTCAAATTTGGCCGGTAAGCTGGACTGCGTGGGCCGGCTTAGTGGGGCTTAGTGGGAGTTATGTCCCTTTGCGTCCCCTCGCCAAACTCAAAACAAGTCGCGGAAAAAGTCACGATTAAATGACATACTTACCTATCATCATCGGGGTGCATGTAGGGCTGCGTAGGGTTGCGTCTAGGGTTACCTATCATCATACGGTTGCGCGTAGGGCTGAGTAGGGTGTCTATTATCATCATCATACGGTTGCGTGTAGGGCTGCGTAGGGTGTCTATCATCATCATCATGCGGTTGCGTGTAGGGTTGCGTCGGGATTGGGTTAGTGGTAGGGTTAGGGATTTGGTTTAGGGGTAGGGTTAGGGGTAGGGTTAGGGTAAGGGTTAGGGTTAGGGGTTAGGGGTAGGGTTAGGGTTAGATGTGAAAATTTTCACGTACGAGGTCGAAATACTGGCCGACAATCTGATGCTTGTGGGAGTGGCGCCACTGGAAGTGTCCCAAATATGACGGCAATAGCGCGCGGCTGGTGCCCAATCGGTGGCGACTTGTCTGTGTCAGTAGCATCCACCATCCGTCAACTGTTTGCGCGTGCATGCGACTGTGCGCGATTGTAGGGAACTACGGCGTCACAATTGTCACATCTAATGCTACACCTAACCCTAATCACGCAAGAGATAAACACCTTGTGACACAAAGTGCCACCATGCTGATGAGGATCAACCGTGGAGAGGTCCCAGAAACGCCATTCAGCCGTTAAGCCATATTTATGGCCCGTCTATATTCAGAACACCCGGCAAAAGCCAGGGTAGAGCTCCAAATAACGAAACTTTGCATCTCTCATAGGAACGACTAAAAACACAGTGTCGGTAAAAAGAATGCATTTATGTTCGTATTTTAGTTTTAGTTCTGGTGCTTACAAAGTTAGTCGGCTCTGTGGCTAAGTCGATGCGAACGCTTCATAATGCTGGGATGCTGTGCACCTTGCGTTGGTTTCGACAGTGGTATCAAGAAAGCCGACCCTCCAGAAAGCAATGGCAAACTACTGGACGTAAATTGGCCTAGAAAAACCACACAATAGCCAGGTGCTCTTGGGGTTGGTTCTGCAACGTCCTGTAAAGGATACGCAACTAACCTAAATATATGTCATATGGTATTGAAAACAATGTGTGCTAATGCATGCCTCACAGCTTATTGGCAACCTGCCCTCTCACCAGCATGCTTTCTGATACAGTTGGTCAATCAGACATCCATTAGTTCTTCATTTTCTCAATGCAGATTAAGCTGCAAGAAGAGTACCACAAGTACAGAGATGAATGTGATGCCCGCAAGCTCCTGGTGGCCGACATCAACGACCTGCGTTACCAGCAGGAAGACTACTTGGCTTCTAGAGCGGAAGCCGAACAAAATCAGGAAACAGAGGAGGATCCCCTTGTGCTGAAACTTGCACTGATGTAAGTGACCAGTGACTGGCTTGTAGCATTGTTGATGGAAACGTTTCTGCACTCTGAGAACACCTGTATGTGTTTAGTCTCTCTTTGTAGATTCTGCAGCCATCATCATTATCATATAGCAGGTCCTTCGCAGAATGTCACACTCGTCAGTGTCTGCCTGAAAGGAGCTCGATCTCTTGCCAGCTTTTCTCCCTCATGCATTTTAAGATCAAAGGTGTCACTTTTATCTTGTGCCTATCTTCGTGATGAACGGCCCCTGCCCCTCCTTCCTGGTACAGTGCCTCGTGATAATTTTTTCTAATCTTTTGTGGCACTTGATATATCCAAAATATTTCAGCTTCCGAGACAAGATTCTGTACACAATTTTACGTAGTCATTAATAAATTGTTTTAAAATGTATAATTCTACATTGTAAACTTTTTTTGTTTATTAGTTTTTTCATGTTTGTTGTTGTTGTTTTTTTTTTTTTTTTTTTTTTTAAATGAAAAAAGATAAAACAATGTAATAATCAATAATCACAATATAATGAAGCAGGAGTATATCCCCACAGGGGTTTTCAAAAACACATGCTGTGACCTTGTGACCTTAATCACTGAGCATACTCTGACATCAGCTTGGCTTTAGAAAAGCTATTTAGCTCAAAGAAAACCCTTCTAAATGCTGCAGCTAGATATGTATTCATTTCCTGACCTCCTGAACATTTGCACAGGTGCAAAAGCAGCCAATAGCATGGCCAATGCATCTCATAAACAGGTCATTGTAGACAAGTCAGAAATGTGACATATGTGGGGAGTTAGACCAGATCAGAAATATTAGTTTTTCAGCTTCTCTGGATGTCACCTCACCTGTAAGCCCTGATTGATTCAGGTAAATTCCTAACTGCTTGTTCTCTTATGAACATCTGTTTTGTTATTTGTAATCTTTAGAAAGACACGAGAGGCAGAGACAGCAGCTACCCAACGGTTGAATGAGATGATTGCTAACTATGGAGATGTTGTTCCCAGGAGAGATTATGAGATGCTGGAAACCAAGTTAAAGGTGAACTAGATAATTGGGTTTAGCACAGGACTGATTGAATTAATTCATTGGGATGTTAGAAACAAAGTCTGAAGTAATCTACTTAAGTGGCTTTAAGATATGATTGATTGAACACATTCATCACCTGAATGTTGGAAACCAAGTTTAAGGTAAACCAGATAAATGGCTTTAAAACATGATTGACTTAATTAATTAATCACTGGATTTGTTCATCATCAAGTGACTTGGTGATTGGCTTGAACAATCAGTTGAATGGGTTTTGAAGTTTTGAACAACAGATCAACATCATGATACACGGGTGTAATCCATAAGTGCTCCATTCTTCTTCTAATTCAAGTCTGAGTCCGAAGAAGCTCCACACAGTGCACAGGCTCTGTAGCACCGACGAGGATCCTGAAATACTTTGAGTAGATTTGAAACTCCAAATTTTGCCCGTTCAGTGCCGCTAGGCTACTCTTTTCAACTTCCAGCTGCCAAGGGATTTTTGTATGTGCGCAACAATCTGGTAATCTTGGTTTTGGCTTCATAGCAAACTGGTCACCTCATAGTTGCTCCGCTCCTGTGCCAATGAAAAAGACACAGAATGTTTGTCACAGTCGCTTGTGGAAAGATTGACAGACTCCTGTCTCAGCATATGCACTAGCATACACACGCATTAAAAGCAAACGGTAGCCATCTGAAGTGCTAACACAAACAGTCTGACATTAGAAATGCAGTTCCTCATAGATGGTAGCAGAAGTTACCAACAGATCAGCAGTTGCAGGTGATCAATTTTAATCACATAATGGCACCACCAATATTGCGACATCAGGCATCGCACTATTTACTGAATCTACAATTCACAACACCACGTTCGTCACAGTTGAAAAACATTCCAAATGAAATCCACAGCTCACAGTGTCACGCCATGCACACAACTCAGAAGCTGGGCGACAAAACTATATCCTTTCAGTCTACAAATGGAGCTAAAATGCAACAGCCACCATCTGGCAGAAGCAAAAAATTTGCTACGGCTCAAAACAGTGGCCATGCCTAGCATCCATTTTGACTGGAAGTCACAGTGCACCCGAGCGTTTGATCTCACTACCCAGAGACCAGAGGGAATTACTAGAAGTTCAAGTCCACAGGAAAAACTCCAGCACTTACCAGGGATTGAACCCGAAACCTCTAGCACTCATGGCGGACACCATTTCTCGAGACCATGCAACCCCCTAATCAGTTGAATGAAATAGATGATTGCTAACTATGTAGATGTTGTTCTCAGGAGGGATTATGAGATGTTGGAAACAGAGCTTAAGGTAAACTGGATAAATGGCAGTTATAACAGAGATCCCTAGGGATCATCACCAGAACTATAGGGTTTGTGCTTTGTGGCAGGTGGCTAGCTCCCTGCAGAGAGAGGTCGAGCTATATAGGATGAAACCCAGTGCATTAAAGTTGATCCTGTCAGTTTACCTTTAAAATGAAATTATCAGTGGTTTTGATATTTGATGTTTGACTGAATTTTTGTACACAATTATTAGTATCTACCACATAAGGTGTTATTTAATAGCTACCCACAATTATTAGTATCTTCCACATGAGGTGATATTAAATTGCTACCCAAAATTATTAGTATCCACCACATGAGGTGTTATTTTATAGCTACCCACAATTATTAGTATCTTCCACATGAGGTGATATTAAATAGCCACACACAGTTATCGGTGTCTTCCACATGAGGTGTTATTGAATAGCTACCCACAGTTATTAGTGTTTTTGGTAAGTTAAGCTTTGACTAAATTGCTGCACAAAATTATCAGTGGTTTTACTACTTGAGATTTAACAGAATACAGAATTGTCAGTAATTTTTTTTCTAGGTGAATTTTTACTGAATAGTTAGTTTGTTGGTTGGTTGCTGGTTAGTTAGTCAGTCAGTCAGTCTGTCTATCTGACTCACTGACTGACTAACTAACTAACTAATTAACTAAATAACTAACTACTAACTATCTGACTAACTAAAAAACTAGCTAGTGAACTGACTGACTGACAAACTATCTGACTAAATAACTAACTACTAACTATCTGACCAGCTATCTATTTATCCGACTGGCTAACTAACTTGCAAACTAGATAACTTACTAACCAACCATATATCTCACTAACTATACATCTGACTAATGAACTAACTGACTGACTAACTAACTACCTGACTAACTAACTAAAAAAACTTACTAGCTAGCTAACTAGCTTACTAAATGACTAACTATCAACCTGACTAACTATCTAGCTAACTAACCAACTATCTGACTGACTAACTAACTACCTGACTAACTAAGTACCTGACTGACTAACTAACTACCTAACTAACTAACTGGCCGACTAACTAACTAAGTGTCTGACTAAATAACTAACTAGTTAACTATGAATGTAACAAAAATTCATAGCTGTTATTTGTATTTATGCTAGGAGCTGGAACAAAAACTGGAAGAATCACACAATGATTTCAGGAAACTTCAAGCAGAGCACAAGTGAGAGTTCCTCTGTGTTTGTATATTTGATACACACTCGTGTATTATTACCTCAGTTTCTTTGTGGTTGATACAAGCTCATATATTATTACCTCTGTGTTTCTGTGGTTAATACAAGCTCATGTATTATTACCCCAGTTTCTTTGTAGTTGATACAAGCTCATGTATTATTACCTCAGTGTTTGTGTGGTTGATACATGCTCGTGTATTATTACCTCAGTGTTTGTGTGGTTGATACACACATATTATTACCTCAGTGTTTGTGTGGTTGATACACACATATTATTACCTCAGTGTTTGTGTGGTTGATATACACTCATGTATTATTACCTCAGTTTGTGTTGTTGATACACAATCATGTATTATTACATTGTTTAATCTGCATTCTTTAAGTAGTCAGTGATTTCACTGTCTGTAGTTAATTTTTTCTATTGACATCAATGCCATCTACATAACCAGGCATTCTTGTGGTGTCTGCTGTAGTAGTCTTTTTTTCATCTCTCTAAAAGTCAAAAGGAAAGCAGGGACAGGACACACACACATGCACACACGCATGCATGCATGCACGCACGCATGCATGCATGCACGCACACATGCACACACGCACGAAATGCATACACACACACACACATGTATTAGTATCACAGTGTCCTTGAAATTAACACGCACACACACACATACACACTGTTTCTCTCTCAATCCTTTCTTCTCCCCCTCTCTTTCCTATTCTGCTCTACACCCCCCACCCCCCATGTTCATGTAATTAACAAAGACACACTTATTCTGACCCCAGTGCTGTGTTGGACATCCAGAAGCAGATCGTACAGAAGAGAGATGAGTTCTATATCGAACTGGAAACTCTCAAAAGAAGCTCTACTCCCAGGTAAAATGTCATCATCTACTTGTCAATTGTTCCCACAGAATAAACAAGGTTGCCATTCTTACAGGTAACTGAAGTACTTGTTCACTTCATTCTCTATGAGAAGTAAGATGTCTGCGAGAACCAAGTGATGACTATGAATCTGCAGCCTTGACCAGACTACAAGAACAACAAAAGAGGTGTGGCTAGACAAAAGAGGTGTGGCCAGACAAAAGAGGTGTGGTCAGACAAAAGAGGTGTGGCCAGACAAAAGAGGTGTGGCTAGACAAAAGAGGTGTGGCCAGACAAAAGAGGTGTGGCTAGACAAAAGAGGTGTGGCCAGACAAAAGAGGTGTGGCCAGACAAAAGAGGTGTGACCAGACAAAAGAGGTGTGGTCACACAAAAGAGGTGTGGTCAGACAAAAGAGGTGTGGTCAGACAAAAGAGGTGTGGCTAGACAAAAGAGGTGTGGCTAGACAAAAGAGGTGTGGCCAGACAAAAGAGGTGTGGCCAGACAAAAGAGGTGTGGCCAGACAAAAGAGGTGTGGCCAGACAAAAGAGGTGTGGTCAGACAAAAGAGGTGTGGCTAGACGAAAGAGGTGTGGTTAGACAAAAGAGGTGTGGCTAGACAAAAGCACTATGCAGAAAGCCAGAGAAGTATAAGAAACCAACACAGAACTGGTATTGACAGCCGCTAGACACTGAGGGGGGGATCTGAACACTTATGGGCTGAATGACTTGATGTGGATATTCTGTCGACTTACTAACTAACTAGCCCTTGTCACACCAGTGGCAGATAGGGTCTTCTGCAACGAGCTTTGTTCTAAATATATCGGAGTTATCTTTCCTTGAGAGTAAAAAAGGACAGAAATCATGCTGCATTGGTATCACAAGGTCTGAACAAAACTGGCCAGGTTTTGTGCTGTAGAGAGGTGGAACTTTATTCCTAGCCTTAATTGGTTTCAGAAACACTTTAAGAAGCAGCAATTACAGGCTATGAATCCTTGTCAGTTGGCGTTGCCATCACCTTCTGCTGTCATTTTCTTCGTGTTTACCAGCTGTAAACTCTGGCAGAAAAATCTGGTTGTTTGTCAACTTCTGGACTGCAGTCCTGTTCCAGAACCTGAGTGTTGCATGTGCATCCGATTTAGAAATCTGATTCATTTGTATGCAGACTGTTGGTTCCTTGCCTGTCAGGCAGATGCACTCTGACTTCCAAGGAAACTCCCTATTACGACATGCTTGTTGGGGAGGCAATGGTTCTATTCATGCCCATCCCCCCCCCCCCCCCCCCCCCGCACAATGGGGTCCTGAAAACCACAATGGGTCCCAGAACCCACACGAGGAGCCTTTGGCTGGGGTTCCCATGTTTTCTCACAGCTAGAGTGACCATACATCTTGTTTTCACTGGGACAGTCTAAGTATTTATTTATTTTTCTTTGGGGTTGTGTCCCGGCCATCCCGTCAGAACTCCGGAAAGAGACAAATTATCCCATTTTATAAACATCTAAAAATAAAACTTGAGAAGAGAACATTCACTTGTAGTATATCTGTAGATTTGATTAGATTTCACAGGTGCAGGATGTGAATTTTTATTGTATCATGTTTTTCAGTGCAGTTAAAGAGCATATTGTTTTGTTTATTTCTTGACAGCAGTGGTTCACATTTTTAATACCATTGTCAAGCAAGTAATTAACTCTTTAAGTCCCAGATGGTTCAGCATCACAGGCCCAAGGGATAGTCAAAAAAGATGTAAAATTGGCACATCATGTGTTCATTGGGTTTCTAGGCAGTAATCTATGAACGTATGATGTGTTCCTTGGGACTCAGAGAGTTAACTCTTTGACCCCGGTGACCTAGAAAAATTAGGATGTGGGTTAAACTTAAAATGTCCCGTTTTTAGCTGAGTATATTATGATCACCCTACCTGAAACACTATCGGGTGGAAAGACGGGAAGCTGTCTACATTAACAAATAATAAGGCATATGGTGCTGTCTCCATTGTTCAGTATAATCATCAGCACTCTATGGGTGTTTTAGTCAGCACTGACAACTTTACTTCCCAGGACATTTCCTGGTACTCCTTTTAGGCTGGATCGACCTTGAAGCATATCTGGGTTCCAGGGTTCCATTTTGGGGCTGAAAGAAAAAGACACAGTGCCCCTAGAAATCATCTTATACACGTCGACTAATCAGGGTGTTTCATTAAAGTCGGAGTACATTTGCCTCAGTGGCAAAGTACCAACAGTCTGCATATAAATATGTCAGATCTGTAAAATGGATGTGCATGCAAAATTCAAGTTCTAGAACATGACCAAAATCTGGAAGTGGATGAACAACCAGACATTTGCAGCAAAAATGTAAAGAGATCTGCGTGGTGAACCACTAGTGTCAACAGTTGTAAGACAGAGAAGGTGGCACTAGATTGCACTGAAATGGGAAATAGAGAGATTGAAGACAAACCCTTAGGTGAACTTTATTGAGCGAAGCCAAAAGTCCTGGATGGGATTCCATCCATGATATCGAACTGATTGTACAGGATAGAAAGAATGGAGTGGAGGAATAGACTGCGAGCCTTATGTGACATATAAGCGCACAGCAGGATAAAGGATGGATGAATGAATATGTTTGCAAGCTATATAGAGCCAGTTTTAACTTTTATCTGTGGACCTTGGAACAATTAATAAACCAGACAACAAATTTCTTGAGTTCTTAGAGATTTGTAGTTTTATAGAAGAATCCTTAGAATTCCTTGGACAGCAACAATAAAAAAGTAACTCGGATGTTTTGAAAGAGGCTCAGAGATAACTTATCACAAAGTGAAAGAGAGAGAGAGAGTCATAATTGTTGAGTCAAGAATTGACATCACAGCATTCAGGGCATCTTCAGCAGCCAGCACATATTTCCAATACTGATGGTATCGGTCACAATCTGGTTATTTGTCCATCTTGCTTTTCCTCTGAGTGTAGTAAGCTGGCTTGACCCTCTGGTTATACCTAGATGCCTGATTCTCTCCAGGCCATAATAATCTTAAACCTCCACTGATTCCGTTGCTTGTTCCCAAAGGGCCTTGACCAAATCAGCCTTGTCATGTATCAATTCACCACCCAGTGGTGCAGATACAGCCAATATGTGTGCCTGTTTATTACCTACCACGCCGGCATAGCCTGGAGAAAAGATCCAAGGTATGCTCACTACCCGTGACCTTTCAAGTGTAGCTTGCCACTCTGCTTGAAGCATCCTTTCTTATCATGCTTTCAGAGTCTGTTGCAATTACAACATGTGTGTGCATCTTGTTCTCTAGTCACAGGAGAGCTGCAGTTACTGAATCTACCTCCATTCTCATTCTAGATGTGGTGTCGTATGCCTGGCTGTCTTGCACTGAAGATTTTCCATTGGCTTTCACTACGAACCCACCCCCAGGCACTACTCTTTCCTCTCAACACTGAATTATCTGTATAGATAATCAAATCACCTGGGCTTGAATTGTCATGAATCAACTGTTGGACTTCCACCTCTGTAGCACCCACTGGCTACTAGTCATAATTGTTAGATCATGTTTTGAGAAGATTAAAACCTGCAACATGTTGTGACCAAGGGAAAGATCTGTGGGAAAAGAGACAGAGGAAGACAACACCAGAAGATTCTTAACAGCCTTTTGCTATAGTATAGAGGGGTGTCTGCACATGAACTGATGCTTGCTGCTGAAGATCGCAGATTGTTGAGAGGCATGATTGCCTAAGCTAGTCGGCAAGGCACTTGGTGATGATGATGATGATATGTTCGTTGTTTCCTTTCAGACCAGCTTGGGACAAATGTGCTGACTTTGTGCAGGGAGGTATTGTCCGATGGAAAGAGCTGTCCGAAGGGAAAAGAAGTAATGAGCTAGTGGACGTTTTGCTCAGTGAAATTCAATCGGGTGGATTTGTGGATACAGTAGGTGCGGATTACTTTGATCCTCAGGTAATTATTTTATTACCAGTTTTAAGGATACATTAGGGGAGGGGGAGGTTGCAGAACTCATTGTTATTATTATCTTCTCATCATCATCATCATCATTATTTGCCTTGCAGCTGGCATAGGTGTTCATACATCTCCACATATCTCTGTCTTTGGTGTTTTGGATCAGTTACACTGATGATATTCCTCTATGCCACTGTCTTGTCACCCATCGTCGTTTCTCTTGGTCTGCCTCTGCCTCTTCCACCAGTGGTCTTTCCAATGGCAGAACAAAGGGTTTTAATACAAGTCCCATAGCCCTGTCCAGAAAAAAGCAATGACCTGGGCCAATGTTCTAAGTGCACTCAAAGAGGCAGGATGACTAGATGATTCATGGGGCGACAGTGAATTGGCAACCTTGACAAGTCTACAGGAACTATGTCATCTGTCACTAGCCGTGAACATTATAAAGGTGCTGAGTGATTCTTTGAGCATGATCCAGTGGAGGCAGGCTGGGCTGGTTAAGCAGACTATGCTTTGAGTCATTGCAAAACTCTCTTGTGTGTGCATTTACTTTCATATTCGTTCCAGGGCATGCAGGCATTGTTGGTAATGAAAGAGCTGATAGATTGGCATGTGCTGCATTAACTGAAGATGGCCGGCCAATGGATCACGCAGATATTGTCATTACCCTTAGAGAGATAGGGCATTCCGAGGATTTTGGAAGCAACATGTCCACATCACTGCTAAGAATACAAGAATTGGGGGTAAAGATCGGCACCGCCAAGCATGAGAAGCACACCGAATGCACACAAAGTCTTGTTAGCCAACATAGGACTGGAACTATTAACCGTGCGATGCTGATGAATATGTTTAGATTCTGAGCATCTATGGATGTGTCCGGAGTGCTGTGAAGATAATCTAACTTATGACTCACATAGAACCAGTGACATTTCCTTACACTTTGTGAGAATAGATCACTGCAGCAATGGCTGCATCATTATGGCACCGGATCACAACTTGATTTGACCAGATTTAGCCCTCCCAGGCCAACAGGGTTCAATTAAAATTATACAATGGTGTGAAGGATTGGCTCATTTACAACAACAGTTTCAGTTTTCTTCAACTGGAGATGAGAATGGAGGGTATGGGGAATATTGCAAGTGCTGTGATTTTTAGTTCTCAACTCAATTCTGTCAGCTGTCTTTTTGTGTGTGTTTAAGTTAAAAGTAAATTTTTCGGTTATACAAACGTTAGTCTCCCCAAACAGAGCAGGTCAGGTTCCATTGATAAGTTTGTTGGGCTGGTCTACCTTCCTGCAGGTTATGGGTGCTGCTCTGTTGTTTGCTTTCTGGCTTGTCTTGCATTTACGTTTTTATTTTGAGAAAGAGAATGCCTGTGACATAGGTTTCATCACTCTCAAAAGGGGTTTTGTGTTAGACCCAGTTTGTCGATGTTTTGGAGTGTTGGGGTGCTGAAATATACAACATGTGATATCGACGGCAATGCAGGAAAAACCTGCAATCTTCTGGTAAGGTAGCGTGGCTCAGGGTAGACCAATCAGAAGTGAGCTAGGCTGAAGGTCGACCAATCAAAAGTGAGCTAGCATGTAACACTGTAAATGGGGAGAGTAACATTTGTATAACCAATTCGTTATGTAAATTAACAAGCTTTTATCAAGCATTTTTGTCTTGTTACGTTGTTTTAACAACAGGGAACAGGTCCTGAGGTGGCCGAATATCTGCGATGTGACCAGCCTGTACGCAACAGAAGGTTGAGCAAGCGGGACACTGTGTTGCTGATCAGGGACATCTGGAGGACCAAGTCAGCCAAAGATGCTGAGGTGAGATCCCACCCACACACCCACCCACCCACTGGACAGTAGATTATCTCACTGCTGCTGGGTGCCCCAGTATGTCAGGTGTCATCTCCAGAAAGAAGGTTGACTGCAGTGGATCTCCAACACGCTCTGTCTCTTGTCTTGTTTGTACACTCTCTCAGTACACTCTCTTGATGTGATCCTCCCACTTGTATCAATATCTACCTCTTACTCTCTTGCTTTTGACGTTTCCCTCCAGTATGGTTTTTTACGATACCTTGTACTAGATTCATCAAGAAACAGCAGATCAAGTTGTTCGGCCATCTCATTAAAATGCAGCCATCACAGTCACTACATCTCAGATCAGCTACAAGAGCAAGAGGACTGCCATGAAAATTATGGATTGACAACATTAAAGACACTCTACGCCTTCATGACATGACAATAACCAGTATCAGCCAGCATGCACTGGATTGGAAATCATTCCTCCCCACGGTGCTGAACAGCGAAAGTGGTTTATGATGATGATGATGATGATGGTTTTTAAAAGAGAGTTATGACTTTTAATGTGGCTGAAATATTTAATTGTCTCTTTTCATTTTTTCTTTCAGTAACTTTCTTTTCATTTGCATTTTTTCCAGAACCCTCTGTGTTTGATTGTTTTTTTTTTTTCTGCTTCTTCTTCAGCATTCCGAGCCCTTGAGGTTCATTGCTGCAGATATCACCGGCCTCCACTCATCTCTCTGGTTGGCCTGCTCTTTCCAGATGGTGACACCAAGAAGTTGACAATTACAGACACAAAATTAAATAAACTTTTAAACATGACTTTTCAGAGGACTGATGGAAGCAGACAGAACATGGGAGAGTTTCTAGCTGAGTACCTGAAGTCGAGGTTTCCCCTAGAGCAGATAGTTCTAGAGTGGGGTTACAATCTCCATGACGCCTGCCAGAGGTATGCCAATGATGAGATCATTGGACTGTTCTGGAGTGTTCTGAATGGGGAGGTAAGCCAGATTGTTTGCTCCACTCTGTTTGGTTCTCATACTGTAATAACTTTGTGGTTGGTCAGTCTTATTCTGCCTTCTATCCCCCAAATGGAGCGTAGGCCTTCAGCCAACTCATGCAAAGTTGTTCTGTTCTTTGTTATCACATGCTGCTCTTCCCATGTTCTTCCCTTCTTTTTTAACTTCACTCTTTAGCTCCCTTCAAAATTTTTTTTTTTTTTTGGTGCTCTTCCTTTATTTCTGTGCCCCTGTGGGTTCCAGTGCAAAGATGTTCTAGTTATATTGTTCTCAGGTTTTCTCAGCGTGTGTTCTATCCAAGGCCATTGTCTTTTCTTCATCTCTTGGTCCAGTGAAACTTATTTAGTTCTCTCCCAAAGCTCTACATTAGTGATTCTGTCATACCTTTTAATTTCCTGTGCAGGCAGTTGTTAATGAAATTGTGTAGTATTTTATGTTGACCTACACTGACCTCTACAAATGGCCTGTATGACCTTTTATAGTCAGTACTTAGATCTTTTAGTACCAGAGACAGCCATCATTATTTGGTCATGCTATGAGAATAAAGAAACTGGAACATGTTTTGACCACTGGAAACATCTGTGGAAAGAGAGACACAGGGAAACACTGCGAGAAAATTCTTGACAGCCTTTTGTCATGCTATGGAGTGATTATTGTACCTCTTGATGTTGTCCTCCCACTTGTATTGTTGCCCACCTCTTGCTGTCTTGCCTTCAACCTTTTCCTCCAGTATGGTTTTTTAAAAGTGTGTTAAGTCTTTTAATGTGGTCAAAGTATTTCAATTGTCCCCTTTTTAAAATTTCTTTTAGTAATTCTATTTTCGCCTTTGTGTCACCGGGGCCCTCACGGGAAGCAAAGAATAGTGACACTGCACCCTACCAGGCATGTCGTAAGAGGCGACTAAGGATAGGGTTAAGCTTGGGGTTGGCTTCCTCATTCTGTAAAAACAATAGCCACAAAAACCAACCAACCATGGATAAGTCAAAAAGAGAAGCAAGTACAACCCAGCCAGCCAAGATGAGTGTAGGCTCTTCAAATAGAAGAAGTATGACACGGTGTGGAGAAAGCTGAAAGTAGTCAGGATTGTTGACATACCTCCTCTCATCTAGGAAAACCTCCAGAATTGGCACCTGGAATGTTAGAATACACAAGGCAACATGGTAATCACCAGACCATAATTCAACCAATCAAATAGATCACATATGTATAAACAAAAAGTTAGAACTCTCTATGATATAGGGAGAACAATGGAAGTAGTAAGGAAAATGAAATATTATAGAATTAGTAGTTTAGGGTTATGTGAAAATAGATAGACTGGGGCGGTGAAAAGTATTCTAAGTTCAGGGGAAACTATTTTGTTTTCAGGACACACAGAGGAAAATTCACCCCACAGAGAAGGAGTGGCCCTGATGCAATTTCATTTAAAACAGTGAAACAGAAGGTGAACATGTCAGTAATCCAGTGTTATGCACCAACAAATGATGAAGATGCATCTGTTAAGGAAGAATTTTACGTGTAGCTTCAAAATATTATAAATAATGAAAGAAATATAATATAAAAAATGTTGATGGGTAACCTAAATGCTAAGATAAGATCAGATAACACAGGTTATGGAGAAATTATGGGAAGACATGGTCTAGAAGTAATGAATAAAAATGGAGAATTATTCACAAATTTGTGTGCAGAAACCAGTATGTTATTTGTGGAAGTATTTTTCCCTATAAAAGAATACACAAGGCAACATGGGAATCACCAGACCATAATACAATCAATCAAATAGATCACATATGTATAAACAAAAAGTTTAGACTATCCCTTTACGATGTTAGGGCTTTCAGATGTGCCAATGTATTTACTGACCATTTTCTAGTGGTAAGTAAAATCAAGGTGAAACTTAAAAGATATATAACATTTTATAATCATAGAAACCAGTATAAAATAGGTTATCTCAAGGATAAAGAAGTTGAGGAACAGTTTTCAGTAACAGTCTCTAATAATTAGCTGAAGATGTCAGCACTGAAGTCTGCTGGGATCAGATCAAAGGAATCTGGAATGAATCTTGTGTAGAAGTTCCTGGCAAGAAAGAACAGAAACATAAAGCGTGGATAACATCAGAAACCATTAAATTGATTTAAGAAAGAAAAAGTAAAAAAGGCAGACTTAAACAGTAGCAAAACTAGAACTGCTAAAGCTAGAGCTCAGATTAAATACACAGAAGCCAACAAGGAAGTTAGGAGGCGTATAAGGGCAGATAAAGTAAAATATTTAAATGATCTAGCACAAGAAGCGGAGACAGCAGCAGCAAAAGAAAACCTCAAAAAACTTTACAGTGACACAAGAAATTAGTAGGTAAATATAGTCAGCCAACTAGATCAATAAAAAATAGCCAAGGAAAGGTACTTACTAACACTAAAGATCAAATGGACAGATGGGCTGAATATTTTCAAATGCTTCTAAATAGACCAGGCCCAGAGGTTCCTCCTTTCTGGATATCAACTGTGAGATACCATCCAAAGAGGAAATTAGAAAAGCTAAAAATCTTCTAAAGAAAGGAAAGGCGGCAGGTCCAGATGGTATCCAAGCAGAAGCCATTAGGGCCAACATAAACACATCAGCAGAATTGCTACATAGATTATTTAGTAAAGTCTGGGAGACCGAAGAAATACCAGCAGACTGGAGAGAAGGATATCTTGTGAAACTGCCCACAAAAAAAGGTGATCTACAGGAGTGTGAAAACTATAGAGGAATTAGGTTGCTGTCAGTTCCTGGAAAAATATTAAGTCAAATTATTTTGAAAAGATTCAAAGATGCTATTGATAAAAAGCTAAGAGATGAACAGGCAGGTTTTCATCCAAATAGATCCTGTACTGACCAGATAGCCACATTACTTATAATAATAGAGCAAAGCATTGAACTGAACTCACCACTTTACATTCGATTCATTGACTATGAAAAACCATTTGACAGCATTGATATGGAATCTCTCTGGAAATTGATAGGGCACTGTGGAATCCCACTGAAAATTATCAACTTAGTAAAGGCAACATATAAAGACATGAAATGTTGAGTTCTTCTTGAGGGAAAGCTAACAGATGCATTTGAAATAAAAACAGATGTGCGACAGGGATGTCTTTTGTCGCTTCTCTTATTTTTACTAGCTATAGACTGGATTATGAAGACAGTAACTGATAACACCAAGAATGAAATTCAATGGACCCCTACAAAACAGCTTGATGATCTGGACTTCGCTAATGATATTTCTCTTCTTTTCCATTCACGGAATCAGATGCAAGACAAATTAAATATACTTGATATGAGCAGCTAGGTCTGAAAATCCATAAAGGAAAGACAAAGATAATGAGAATAAATCAGGCAAATAGTAATGTGGTTTCACTTAATGGCACCCCACTCCAAGACGTGGAGTCGTACGCCTATTTGGGCAGTAATATAGATAAAGATGGAGGAACTGATAATGACATTAAATTAAAATTACAAAAGGCAAGATGAGCTTTCATATCACTAGGGAATTTGTGGAGGTCAAAAGAAATTAAAAGAAATACTAAACTTAAAATTGTTAATTCTGATGTCAAATCACTACTTTTTTTATGTGGCTGAAACACGAACAACTAAGGCAACTACTAATAAACTGCAGACATTCAGTAACTGGTGCCTGCGCAGAATAGAGGGAATTAAATGGTATGATTGAATAACTAATGTAGAGCTTTGGGAGAGAACTAAACAGGCTCCAGTGGACCAAGAGGTGAGGAAAAGACGCTGGCATTGGATAGGACACACACAGAGAAAACAGGAGAACACATTACTAGAATGTCTTTGCATTGCAACCCACAGGGACATAGGAATAAAGGAAGGCCAAAATCACATGGAGAAGAGAGCTGCAGAATGAAGTTAGAAAGAGATGGGGAGGACATGAGGAGAGCTCCATATAATAGTGAAGGATAGAACGACTTGGCATGAGTTGGTTGAGGGCCTATGCTCCATTGAGGGATAGAAAGGCAGAAGAAGAAGAAGAAGAATTACATTTTCATTTTTAACTTTTCCAGAATCTCTATATTGGACTGTTTAGGTTTCCATGAAATGAGACCTATTCTTCTGTATACCCACATCTCCAGAGACTCAGTTCCATTTTCTACTTTGCTTGTTCATATCCAAGTTTCTGCACCATACAGCAAGTTTGGGTATACATAACATTTGACAATTCTTATTTGTAGTGTGTTGTTTATCTCTCTAGCTGTCAGTAATTTGTGCATCTTAGTGAAGAAGTTATAGCCAGTTAGCTTGGGACTGAAAGTTTTGAAATTTGGCACTAATTATGAAATGGAGTTTTATAAAGTAACCTATGGTGCCATTTTAATGGGTTGAAATGAATTCTGTCCGTATTCCATAGTCGTGGATTTCAAGCTGTACGATAGACATGGCCAATGAGACACCTTTTTTGGGGGTGCCGAGTTGACCATGTATCTTAGTGCACTTGTATTCATGGCGAGGCGCAGACGCCGTCTGGAGGTGACAGGTTCAATTCCCAGCACTGTAACTATAGCTTTCGATTTTTATGTTGTCTAGTGTGTACTTCTATCTTTCTACTTCTTTCTATGAGTGCCGTTCACAATACTTTCTGTTACTTTATTAATTCATAAATGGGGTGAGGGGGTTGTCAGTCTTATGTCATCCGGGAGCTGCGTTAGCATAGTCGATAGTAGGCTCGCTTTCAAATCCAGCTGCGACTCACTGCAGCCACGGTCGGCGTTCGAAATCGGGCGGTTCCCGGGGTTCACCCAGCCTCTAGGAAATGGGTACCATAGTGACACTCTGGGGTAAATGGAGGAACATCGCTGTAGCTACAGAGTTACGTGTGAATGGCGACACAGGTAGACAGTTTCTTATCAGCTATCCGTACTGGTGGCAGAGCACTTATGGTTTACAACCGTGTGCAATGACGATGGTTCACCTCTCCTGATTTTACCTTTTTACCTTTTACTAATTATCTTCAACAGGCAGATGAAGAAATCTTCCACTCTCAGCTCATGACAATTCATAGACTGCTGACGAGCATGACAAAGCTTGATGCCCAGAAGGGCAACGAGGGGATTCTGAGTTTTGAAGACTTCCGCAAATGTCTGGTGGAGTTTTTCCATTTGTCAGACCAAGAGAATGAGGCCACAACTGTGACTATCATGATGAAAGCTGTGCAGGATGAGTTAGAAATTACTGACGAGCAACCCGTTGATTATAAAGTCTTATTTACAGAGGTAAGTTTTTCTGTTACAAGTTCTCTGGTACAAACTTCAACTGCCCCACTTTCACTAGGAGAAATACAGTCTAGAATACAATCTGGAAATATAGTATACTATGACTTACAACTATACTGTAACCTACAACTATACTGTGACCTACCACTATACTGTGACCTACAACAAACTGTCCCCTACAACTATACTGTGACCTACAACTATACTATGACCTACAACTATACTGTGACATACAACTATACTGTGACCTACATCTATACTGTGACCTACAACTATATTGTAACCTACAACTATACTGTGACCTACAACTATACTATGACCTACAACTATATTGTAACCTACAACTATACTATGACCTACAACTATATTGTAACCTACAACTATACTGTGACCTACAACTATACTGTGACCTACAACTATACTGTGACCTACAACTATACTGTGACCTACAACTATACTTTGACCTATAACTATACTGTGACCTACAACTATACTGTGACCTACAACTATACTGTGACCTACAACTATACTGTAACCTACAACTGTACAGTGACCTATAACTATACTGTGACCTACAACTATACTGTGACCTACAACTATACTGTGACCTACAACTATACTGTGACCTACAACTATACTGTGACCTAAAACTATACTATGACCTATAACTATACTGTGACCTACAACTATACCATGACCTACAACTATACTGAGACCTACAATTATACTATGACCTACAACTATACTATGACCTACAACTATACTATGACCTACAACTATACTGTGACCTACAACTATACTGTGACCTACAACTATACTGTAACCTACAACTGTACAGTGACCTATAACTATACTGTGACCTACAACTATACTGTGACCTACAACTATACTGTGACCTACAACTATACAATGACCTACAACTATACTGTGACCTACAACTATACTGTGACCTACAACATCTGCTAAATACTGAAACTGAAACGCCAATATCATAATAGATGGTTTTGAGGTTTGAGGTTTGAACAACGGATCAACATCAGGGCACAAGGGTAGTAACCTTTAAGTGCTCCGTTCTACTTCTAACTCAAGCCAGAGTCTGAAGTAGCTTAGCGTATTGCAAGGGCTCTGTAGCACCGGTGAGAATCATGAACTATTTTGGGTAGATTTTTAACTACAAATTTTGCCCAGGTAGTTAGGCTACTTTCTTTTTAGCAGGAGAGCAGGGAAAATTACCACTTGAAAAAAATCAGTCTTCACCGGGGCCTGAACCTGGGAAGCTTAGCATTCAGGTGGACACCATACCTCGAAACCACGCAGCCCCCCCTATCATAATAGATACAACACTGATAAGACCAGCAATCCTTTTTCCAGTTTGATCCTTGCAGATTTGCAATCTTCAGGATTAACCTTGTGTTAAAACAGGTACAAGTCAGGGAATCCCTGTTTAACATACAAATATGGGAATTCCTGTTCAACATACAAATCTGGGAATCCCTGTTCAATGTACAAATCTGGGAATCCCTGTTCAGCGCACAAATCTGGGAATCCCTGTTCAGCACACAAATCTGGGAATCACTGTTCAGTGCACAATTCTGGGAATCACTGTTCAGCGCACAAATCTGGAAATCCCTGTTCAGCGCACAATTCTGGGAATCACTGTTCAGCGCACAATTCTGGGAATCCCTGTTCACCGCACAATTCTGGGAATCCCTGTTCACCGCACAATTCTGGGAATACCTGTTCAGCGAACAAATCCGGGCATCCCTACTGAACGTGGCTTTTCTTGTTCTGTTCAGTTTTTTACATTCATACATGATCAGCATATTTGAATTGTGTTGAATATTTATGTAGGATGATGAGGGTAAAACTGGACCATTCTTGGATGAAGTGAAGAAGTTTCTCAAGACCCAGAAAGAGACCTACATCAATGATATCAAGGAGAACTTTTCAGATTCCAGGTAAGAATCTTCTTTTGCATGAAACAGTTTTGTTTCCAAAAAGTATTTATTTTCTTTATACTTCTGTTAATAACCAGTCTTCTCTTCTTCTTCTTTTGTTGCCTCATTGAAACCAAGTTGTAGCCCAGTGTCGGGGTTTCTATATTTGTCTCGCTCTTCTTTTTTGTTGTCTCACTGATACCAAGTTGTAGCCCAGTGTCGGGGTTTCTGTATTTGTCTCGCTCTTCTTTTGTTGTCTCACTGATACCAAGTTGTAGCCCAGTGTCGTTGCTTTCTGTATTTGTCCTGCGCTTCTTTAGTCATCTCACTGATATCAAGTTGTAGCCCAGTGTCGTGGTTTTGTCATCTCACTGATACCAGGTTATAGCCCAGTGTCGTGGTTTTGTCATCTCACTGATACCAGGTTGTAGCCCAGTGTCCTGTTCTTTAAAATGTTGCCAGTCCAATGTTTGTAAGAATCTGTCTAAGTGTATTTGATATTTTTTGGGTCAGTAACACCACTGATGGCTTGTTAGATCCTGTCCACTATTTCTTTGCCTTCTAAGCCACAGTGACCCTGGTTTCCACTGCAGTACAGATTGTTCTACTGAAGAAACTAGGTGAATCAGCTGTTGCATCAAGTCTACAAACTGTTTCATGATGAAATGGAGTTTTACAAGAAGGGGGAGGGGGGGGGGGGGGGGGGGGAGGGGGTTTGCCAGTCTTATGTCATCAGATTCAAGTAGCGGAGAATGAAGAGAGAAGCAGCAATTAAATTCATTGTTGACAGCAGTATTCTTCAACCTTGTTTATACCAGTGGAACGAAGGATTTGGGCTTTCGAATGCAAATGTTACAGACACATTTTACAAATTCGTTATTTGGAACATAAAACTAACAAATATGTCAGAGACATAATATACAAATTTGTGGGACATCAGAAGCCTCTCTTGTCAGGGGTGAAACTTCACAAGCTAGCTTGGTTTGGGCACGCGGTGAGACATGATTCGATTGCAAAGATTGTACTTAAGGAACATTGGAAGGCAGTCAAAGAGAAACCTGAGATGACAACATCAAGAAGTGGACAGGACTAAGTTATCACACACTTATTCATCAAGTGGGAGACAGAGAAAGATTGCAGATGTTGTGTGCTAATGCTTCCATCGATACAGCTCCATGACCCTAGCGGGTCAAGGGTTATGTTATGTTATGTTATGTGTTATGTTATGTTATGTTATGTTATGTTATGTTATTTGTTATGTTATGTTATGTTAAGTTATTCCAGTGGACAGGCCAAGCAGGGAAATTTGTTTTGCTGACCACTCAACAGCTAAACTCAATGTAAATAGCAGTTTATTTGTTAAATCTTATATCTGAAAGCTATGTCATAGTTGCGTGATAAGTACTGACTAATATATAAAAGAGCACATGCTAATCATCCCATCATGCATAGGACCTGATTCTGACCAGTGAGAAAATGGCCAGGTTGATTCCAAATCCATTCAAGAAACTCAAAGAAAAGTGGTTCAGTTTCTTTCAATTAAAGGATGTTGACCAGTGGACGTTCGTGGAGGAATGTAGGCAGAATATAAACAGCGTGTCGAAGGCAGTAGTGACAGATTGGGTATGACTGATTTGGAAAGGACAACAGTTCACAACATTACTTCCATGGCTTGGCCAAATACATATTGTTGCAAAAGAAAAATCCATAGCCAGAATTAATGCAGCAGTCCAGATGAACCGTTTTTGAAGCATATGTTTACTAGTGAAAACATGTGACGTGTAATTTTGATCAATCGGAAGGTTAGTGATACAAACAGTATCAGAAGGTATGTTTACAGTAGGTACCAAGGATGTTACATTGGATGTTACTATGGATGTAACCGGGGATGTTACCATAGATGTTACCAAGGATGTTACCAAGTGATGTTACCATGGATGTTACCAAGGATGTTACATTGGATGTTACCGTGGATGTTACCATAGATGTTACCAAGGATGTTACCAAGTGATGTTACCATGGATGTTACAGTGGATGTTACCATGGATGTTACCATAGATGTTACCAAGGATGTTACCAAGTGATGTTACCATGGATGTTACCAAGGATGTTACCAAGGATGTCACCATGGATGTCACCAAGGATGTTACCATGGGTGTTACCAAGGATATTACCAAGGATGTTACCATGGATGTTACCAAGGATGTTACCAAGGATGTTACCAAGGATGTTACCAAGGATGTTACCATGGATGTTACCAAGGATGTTACCATGGATGTTACCATGGCTGTTATCAAGGCTGTTACCAAGGGTGTTACCATGGATGTTATCAAGGCTCTTCCCATGGATGTTACCAAGGATGTTACCATGGATGTTACCAAGGAAGTTACCATAGATGTTACCATGGATGTTACCAAGGATGTTACCAAGGATGGTACCATGGATGTTACCATAGATGTTACCATGGATGTTACCAAGGATGTTGCCAAGGATGTTACCATGGATGTTACTAAGGATGTTACCATGGGTTTTGACCAACCACAAAAAGGAGGAATACATATGATGGTGTAATGAATGTGATAAACAAATGGTTTAGTTAGCAGCCACAATCATTTTTTGTAGCATTTGATCCCAACCTTAGCAATGGGATTCTGTTCTGAATACCATCAGTGATCTTTGGCTGACCAATCCATGGTGCATAATTCATTCCAAATAAATTCTTTGTTTATTTCCGCCACACCTATTGATTTACAAAAATGTTTTAATAATAAAATCTTTGGAATTGGTTTCAAGTGACCGTTGTTTACAGGATGGATGCATTATTCCATAACATTGTAGGAAAATTAAATATTTACTATGTAGTCTAAAACTTTTGGTTACGCTTGTACACCAATAACAATGCTTACAACATTACACGGTAACATTTCTTATATTTTCCACAGCCCTGTTTCAGTTGATGATCTGATGAGGGCAATTTCTATGGCAGACCCAGAGATCAGCAATGAGAAAATGCATGAATATTTGACGTGGGCATTCAACACAACCATTGAAGGACTGCAGGATGCAAACCCAGCCGAGCAGTCATTTATCTTGAAGAGACTGGCCAATGGGAATTTTTCTAGGATAGGACGGAAGATGTAGAACATGTGTGCTTGTTTACTTTTTATGTGAGAAAATATTTTCACTCCTTCTTATTCTTCTTATTCTTCTTCTTCTTCTTCTTCTTCTTCTTCTTCTTCTTCTTCTTCTTTTTCTTCTTCTTCTTCTTCTTCTCCTTCTTCTTCTTCTTCTTCTTCTTCTTCTTCTTCTTCTTCTTCTTCTTCTTCTTCTTCTTCTTCTTCTTCTTCTTTTTCTTATTCTTCTTCTTCTTCTTCTTTTCTTCTTATTCTTCTTCTTCTTCTTCTTCTTCTTCTTCTTCTTATTATTATTATTATTATTATTATTATTATTATTATTCTTATTCTTCATCTCCTCCTCCTCCTTGTTTTTCATCTCCTCCTCCTCCTCCTCCTTCTTGGTCTTCTTTATCTCCTCCTTCATCTCCTCCTCCTTCTTCTTCTTTATCTACTCGTCCTTTTTCTTCTTCATCTTCTCCTTCTTCTTCTTCATCACCTCCAGTGGTTTATTGTTGATCTATACTGGCGATTTGCAGCATCTTATCTCAGACATGTGTGCATATAGACAACAGGTTAGCCAGACTGATTAGTTGTTCTATGCATAAGAAGCTGCAGTTTTGCAGTGCCTACCCATGATCTGCAATCGATTTACTCCTCCTTTTTCTTCTTCACCCTTTTTTTTTTCCTTCTCTTTTTTCCATTAGGAAACTTTATGTTTTAGATAACAATTTTATGTTAATGAGCTTTGACAAATGTAATTATTGTGCTAAGAGATCTTGTTTTTTTTTTTTTTTTTTTTTTTTTTTTTTTGCGTTCAGTTTCATATGCTCAGGTCAGACCATCAGGTGGGTTGCCTCTATAAACTCGCATGTTGGTAGCAGGTCCTTCATATTTCTCCATTACTTGCTCCGACACTTTGCTCTTGAGGCCAGGTTTCTTTTTGAGGTGTCTTTTCGAAGTTGTAGGTAGAGTGGGTAGGTCTGCAGAATGTGCTCAGGTGTTTGTGGTCCTGTTCGACAGGCACACTGTGGGGACTGTACAATCTTTATTTTATGCATGTGGTAGTTGAGCCTGCACTGTTCTGTTCATAGATGGAAAATTGTTGCATGTTGTTTTCTGTTGAGTTTGCTGATGAGGTCTTGTGTACTAAGAGATTTGAATGTTCATAATACTGATAAACTTGATATTGTACCCAGTAACCTGTTATACCAGGGAAAGTCAATGAGTAAGTCACAAATGCTTATGGCATGGCAGAAAAGTGTAGTTGGTGGTTTCTAAAGGTGTCATTAGGTGATAGCTAGGTCGAACTTTGTTTCTGTTCATTAGGTGGCGCTAGGTGTTGCATGCGCATTCGCTGCATAGAAACAAAATGACGACTGTACTTACAGAGTATACCCTCAAAGAACAACGTGCTGCTGTACAGTTTTTTGATGCAAAAGGGATGATAACTCACGGTAAAACTAACAATCTAGGGTGGAAACTTCTGGAACATCCACCTTACGGACCTGACAGCCCTGGTGATTTACACATTTGTAGTCCACTAAAACCCACCTTGACTAGAGACATTCTGCGAATGATGCAGAAGTCGAATTTGAAGAAGTCAAATGTGAAGTGAAAATGTGGTTTAGAAAACAGAGCATGCAGTGCTATGCAGCAGGGTTGGGAGGACTGGTAAACCGATGTAACAAGTGCATCAAAATTGGTGGAAGTTATATAGAAAAATAACAGGACAGTGTCTGTGTAAAAATAAATGGTTCTCAAGTTGTTACCGTCATTAGTTTTTTTTTTTTTTAACAACTGTTTGTGACTTACTTATTGACTTCCACTCGTACATAATTAATATAATCTTGATACTTGTATTTAAAAAATTTGTGCTAAAAGATTTGAAATTTTTATTATATGGCTTAAGCACACTTTAAAACTGAATTCAACAGTTGCCTTGATAAAGTAATATACAGGGGGCTTCGAATGAAAGCTTTAAACGTGTGATAGAAATACGATAACAACGCCATTGTCTTCATACCTGTCAATATTCTTCTTCTTCTTCTGCTTCTTCTTCGCGTTCACCAGCTGTAAACTCTGGCAGCAAGTTCTGGTTGTTCATCCACTTTTGAACTGCAGTCCTGTTCCAGAACCTGAGTGTTGCGTGTGTATTTGTTTTATGGATCTGACTCATTTGTATGCAGACTGTTGGTTCCTTGTCTCTCAGGCAGATGCAGTCCGACTTCAAAGGAAGCTCTCAATTAGTCGGCTCTTACAACATTTTTGTGGGTAGTCAGTGGGTCTAATCTTGTTTTCCTTGTAATAGGGCCGGGAACCCACACAGGGACCTGTCAGTATTGTTGTTAAGGATGTCAGGAATGTTAAGCGTGCATCCTCATGGTGCAAATAAACACATCGACATCATAATGACAATGTAAAGATGGTCACCCCACTTTTGACATGTACCGAAAAAAGGAGCTGCATTCTGTTTTCCATTAGGTGACCAGCAAAGTGTCAAACCTCTAGAAATTCATCGGTGAATGAAGAGCCAGTATGGTGTTGCATGCCTGTCAATCTGGCTAGTGTATGAGTGGATTTATAAGAACTTATATCATAGCACACCAGGCATACCCATAGAGGCTCTGTCTCCCGCAGCAGATGTCTTCGTAGATGCTGTTTCCGTAGCACATTGATTTAAGAATCAATATCATAGCACACCAGGTATACCCATCGAGGCCCTGTCTCCCGCAGCAGATGTCTTTGTAGATGCTAACTGTTTCTGTAGCACACTGATTTAAGAATCAATATCATAGCACACCAGGCTTACCCATAGAGGCTCTGTCTCCCGCAGCAGATGTCTTAAGGTGAAGATGCTAACTGTTTCCGTAGCACACTGATTTAAGAATCAATATCATAGCACACCGGGCATACCCATAGAGGCTCTGTCTCCCGCAGGAGATGTCTTAAGGTGAAGATGCTAACTGTTTCTGTAGCACACTGATTTAAGAATCAATATCATAGCACACCGGGCATACCCATAGAGGCTCTGTCTCCCGCAGCAGATGTCTTCGTAGATGCTAACTGTTTCCGTAGCACATTGATTTAAGAATCAATATCATAGCACACCAGGCATACCCATAGAGGCTCTGTCTCCCGCAGCAGATGTCTTCATAGATGCTAACTGTTTCTGTAGCACACTGATTTAAGAATCAATATCATAGCACACCAGGTATACCCATAGAGGCTCCGTCTCCCGCAGCAGATGTCTTCGTAGATGCTAACTGTTTCTGTAGCACATTGATTTAAGAATCAATATCATAGCACACCAGGCATACCCATAGAGGCTCTGTCTCCCGCAGCAGATGTCTTCGTAGATGCTGTTTCCGTAGCACATTGATTTAAGAATCAATATCATAGCACACCAGGCATACCCATAGAGGCTCTGTCTCCCGCAGCAGATGTCTTCATAGATGCTAACTGTTTCTGTAGCACACTGATTTAAGAATCAATATCATAGCACACCAGGCATACCCATAGAGGCTCTGTCTCCCACAGCAGATGTCTTAAGGTGAAGATGCTAACTGTTTCCGTAGCACACTGATTTAAGAATCAATATCATAGCACACCAGGCATACCCATAGAGGCTCTGTCTCCTGCAGCAGATGTCTTAAGGTGAAGATGTTAACTGTTTCCGTCGCACACTGATTTAAGAATCAATATCATAGCACACCAGGCATACCCATAGAGGCTCTGTCTCCCGCAGCAGATGTCTTAAGGTGAAGATGCTAACTGTTTCCGTAGCACACTGATTTAAGAATCAATATCATAGCACACCAGGCATACCCATAGAGGCTCCGTCTCCCGCAGCAGATGTCTTCGTAGATGCTAACTGTTTCTGTAGCACACTGATTTAAGAATCAATATCATAGCACACCAGGCATACCCATAGAGGCTCCGTCTCCTACAGCAATTATCTTAAGGTGCAGATGCTAACTTTTTCTGTAGCACACTGATTTTAGGATCAATATCATAGCACACCAGGCATACCCATAGATGCTCCGTCTCCTACAGCAATTACCTTAAGGTGCAGATGCTAACTTTTTCTGCAGCACACTAATTATACATACATCGTTCTCTTCCTCTCCTCCGTTCCTCCTTGCCAGACAAAGACATGACTTATGTATGCTTGACCCATTCTTGAACAGTCTGTCCCCTCGTGTAAATATATCATGGAATAAATCAACAAATAAATCTTATAAAAATTAACAAGACAAATCAATACAATATTTGTATTCATCATCATCATGTAACAGGTCCTTTGCAGAACGTCGCTTTCATCACAGTCTCTCAAACTCACTCACCAGCTCTCCCGCCTCATGTACTTTCATATTCAAGGAGTCATTTATATCCTGTGCCTATCTTCGTGTTGGTCGGCCCCTGCTCCTCCTTCCTGGTACCAGGCCTTTTGTTATTATTTTTTCCAATCCGTCGCAGCGCTTGATATGACCAAAATATTTCAGCTTCCGAGACAAGATGCTGTTTATTAGCCAATCTTCCTTGATGTTCAGATCTTTCAAGATGTCAGTATTTCTCCTTGTCTTTGTCCAAGATATTCTGAGAATCTTTCTATAGCATTTCAGCTCAAAGCCCCTATTCTCTTTCTTAAAGACTGAGAGATAGTCCACGACTCACATCCGTATTTGTATTTATAGCTTTTAAAATAATGAATATATCTGAAACTACCATGGGAGTCATGTTAGCATAGCAGCTATAGTCCATTTCTGAAATCCTGCCCCAACTTTAAAAAATATGTAACTCAGTAAACTTTAGGTGTAAGTTATTTAAATTTGCCATGGAACCTTTAATAATAATGTCCTTCTGAGAAATTTTGGTTCTTTTCTAATATCTTACCCCAGATGACATCACAGGACAGTCCATCATTTTAGAGGATGGTAAGACTGGGTTTCCCGGCATTCTGATGCTTTTAATGATCCCATAACATCTAGAACTGGCCCTAACGCCAACCCACCTACGTCCCACGAG